GCGCCAACTCTGCGTGTTATTGATATGTCATGTAGAGGTATAAACATTTAATATTACTTGAAGGGGTGTAGGTTGGAACAATATTTTTCTTTGAAAATGAACATACGAGTAACCTGCTGATTTGCTAAAATCCTCCTACCACGATTTCTCTGCATGTCACTTAGCCATAAACAATGTTGTTTTTTTTTCTCCAAGCTCAAAAGACCTCTGACACGGTTGGAAAGAAGGTCCAGTAAAGCAGGATTCGTTTCAAATAGTTATAGAAATCAATGATTGGTGTTCAAATAATCGAGATATTATAATTGTTTATGCTATTATTTAGGTTACTAGAGAAGATCCTTTGGCCGAAAATTCTATTTCGGCGTAGTATAAAGTTGTTGGAGGCTGAATTTGTCCAAACATTTGTGTCACATGCAAAGAGCACGACTAATTTCAAAACATGAACGATATTTTTGTCACCAAGTTTTTCATGAAACTCTTTTTCTTTATGTCGTGTGCTTTTCTTTTGCTTTTTTGGGAGAAGAATTTCATATCATTCCCTTGGCAAAGATCCGAACACTAACAATTTTATCATGAGCAACCATTTAAGCACACAGGATGCGAAATTTCATGAGGCATTATTCATTTTTGGTCCCACATACGTATTCTGTATCACCATAATCTTGTACGTCAATCGAAATAGGAGTTAGAAGTTTTTATCTGATTTCGAAACCAGCCGCTAAACATACATATTGGCCTACTCTGAGAATGAACAAAGAAATCTCCCAGTTGGAATTATGAAACAATTCACCTTCGCATTCACCCATTCTCTTTACCATGTCCCTATCAGTTTTCAGTTGATGTTCAATAGTGTCAGAAAGGAAAATCTTATTTCAATTCATCATTCAACTTTCACCTTCTCTTTATCAAACGGCTGTTTAACAACCATTTCACGTTGCCTTTATTACTTGTTTTACATGCGAAGCTTCAGTATCATCTACCTTCAGTATTTTATTGCACATTTTCTTTTAGACCGGAAATTGAACAAATTTAGTCTAGTTAACTATTTATCTCAGCATTCTTCCTCTTGAATTCACAGAGAATCATCAGTTTAGCCCATTTCTACCTGATCGATGCACCTGATTTTTGGCAATTTTAGCACAAATTAAGTCTATTGACAAATTTTATATTGTGAGTTAAATAAAGCAAGATCTAGAAAAAAAATTGTAAAATTTTTAATTTGTATGCGACAGTTTTGTTTAAAAAAGGGAAAGATGATCTAATTTTATTCTGAGAATAAAAAATAATAATATTTTAGCCACATTTATTCATTTATTTGAAGGACATCCAAGCATAGAACTTTCGTTTTTTTATTTAAGACTTCATATAAATTGATTTTACGCGTCAATTAGAGGTGCTGTTTCAAATATTAATTGGACTGTTGCCCAGAATGCAATGATTTATTCGACAAACATGTCTTCAAGATTGTAAATTTAAAATAGCGCTTGAAAACAGTCCTATGTTTACAATTTAATGAAGCAAGAATTAATTCACCTTTTTGTAGGTTGGGTGTACTTTACAGTTCGTTTTGACTCTTCATTCTTCAACTGTTTATTTTCAGACCAACTCCGGCCCAATGCCTTGAATCTGCAGTCCAGGGAGGAGGGGCAAGTCAAAATAGCCTTTTTATGAATGCAAAACAACCTACTTTTTAGGGCAAATTTGGGAAAAAAAAGCTAAAGATTTCTTACGATGTCTAAACCAAGCAAGAAATTAATGTTGCTCATGCTGAAATTGCTGAATTGTCGTACAACTGACTATGTAATTTACGTTTATAACAGAAAAATATTTCTAATAGAATAGATAGTTCTAGCTAATCAAAATGGCAGGTATTTCGAATTACAAATTTTTATCGGATCCAAAATTCTAAGCTCCAAACAGGACCTTAGGGACACTGTGAAGGACTACAGTGGTCTTGCAACGTACTCACTATCTTCGACTCAAATCACTTATCACTTTCCTTAGTTCTATTTCCTACTTTATAAAAGTCGACGATTCCTTTCCTGTTCCTCAAGCGTCTTCTTAATTTGTCCTATTTAGACTCCAATCAGTACTCTTTTCTACCTTAGCGCTTTTTGGCTTAATAATGAGGAGGCTTGAATCTTCTCTCTATATATTCCACTCAAAATAGAGAATTTAAAATCCTATCTTGGTGTAGAATAATGAAACGGCCAATAGATTTAAAAAATTCCCCTGTCAAATTTTAAGGTTTTCCATTTTGAAACAATTTAAGTCAAAAAATTTTGACAGTCTGCTGTTTTTGCTCTAACGGACAGACTTTTTCATTTTAACAACCGCATTATTTTTCAAATTTAGATTATAGGGAAACTTGGAAGTGGAAATAAAATTCCTTAGGCGCAAAAACACAAATTCCGTAGCCTTGGAGGCAAGAATCATATGAATAGCAAATGACAGCTGTAAATACTTCCACCACCCATGTCCCCGCGCAAATTTGGGAAAATGACAATATTTATTGATATTTGAATGTTCTCATAATCTTGAATTGAAATATGCGTTTGTGGGCATAAACAAATTATTTTGCAAAACACGGCTATATGTTATTATTGATTAGTTGGGGGGAAAACGTGAGAGATATGTACTTGAAGATCACTCACGTGGGACGGGGGAGCTGTGTGTGTGTGTGGGGGGGGGTGCCGGAGAAGTGACCTTACGATGTACTTTTCAATTTTCCGTTTGGCTTATAATACCCTCTAAATATGAATGCAGAGAGTAATAAAAATACAGATTTGAGCTTCAATCATTGGCCAAATGAAATTCATGGCAAACTGATTAGTTACAAAATATGATTTTTTCTTAATCTATTAAATTAAATTTAAACTCTAAGTGTCGGGAAGAAGATAAAGTGAAGACTGCTCTAGGAAACCCGAGGCACAAGTCTATAACCGAACTATTTTGTTTCGAAAATATTTAGCCAAAAAGATGGAAAGCTGCATCTAATTTTTCCTTCCTTAAAAAGATGTTATTTTGATGGCGATGCATCTATCCAATTTTTACACAAATTTTAATCATTTTAAATTCAAGTTTTGAGTTTCTTCATATGCAATTTCCCGTCCTGTAATGCCTACACTCGTTTGCAGAGAGAGAGAGAGAGAGAGAGTAGTAAGTCAAATTTCCTCAGTCTCCAAAATAATGGGTCTTCCTGATAACTCATATTCTACATTATATTAAAACTACATATATTCTAATTTTATTACTTAGGTTAATTAATTCTCAGATATACACTCATGTGTGTAGGTGCGTGGAATAACTTCATGTTAATTGTCTTTATCCGTTAAATGTTAGTTATTTTATAATTACAGGTGCTTCTAAAGAAAGTGAGTCTCATTTAAGGAAATATTTTGATTTAGGTACTTTATTTTACAGTTATTAGTTCACGGTTTAAAAAGTCATATCCACACACAAAATAACAAATGAAGTGCCCTTTTTGGATGAATGACAATAAGCTTTAACGTGACAAACACATGTTTGCCAGTTCCACTACTACACTTTTGGTAGAAAGATGTGAAGTTGGAAACCACTTAAGTGAGCATTTTGTTCCAAAGCCAAACTTTAAGTTGGTAAGGGGAATTGACAAACTGCATTAGACATGGAACAGATATGGAAGTATTGCCAGAAATTATACAATTGAGTGCTTAATTTATGGATGCTAACATACTCTGTTTGGGAAGTTGAGCTGAATTGGTCAAAGCGTTTAGATCTTTCCAATAAATAAACTGATCTGTTAGAAGTGAGAAAAATATTGAGATTGGCAAATTCGGTGCCTAATATAAACACTCGTTAATGAAGTGACATATCTGTCAAGGGGTGCGTTTAATTAAAATGTGCGCGTTTTCGTTAAAATGTATAGGTGCATCCTTTTGACATCAAGGCCTGCGAATATATCTGCACTTCGTAATATGAGTACACTTGACTTGTAAACTGTTAACAAACACTCCATCTTGTATGGTTCTTGACTGGTTATACATATTTATATATAGTTCATATACGCCTTTTATCTTTCTTCCACTGTTCTAATTATATGCATTGATCGAAAGAGCAATTTCAGTTGGGTTTTGTTGAAAGATCTTTTAAATAGACATGACACGCTAGTATTGACCTTGTTTTAGGACAGGTTGCCAAATTCACTTTATCTTCTTAATCTTTTTCTTAGTACAGTTTGGAGAAAGAAAAATATGATTAATTTTGGAGTTCAATACTGAAGTAAGTATATTCTCTTGTAAACACTGAAGTCATGGTAATCACTTTCACGAAGCTCCAATAAGTCAAAGTAAAAAAATTCTAAAAATAAACCCACATTTGTTTCGTTTTTGTAAGCACAAAAATTGGGAAAATTTTGGGTTGGAATGAGACTGTGGCGGCTTTTCGAGCTATTGCGTGGGAAGTAATTTGTGTACACGATAAGCTCTTTCTCATGGTAACACGTTATTTACAGAAAGAAATACCTTCTCCATTTGAGTGAGTGGGAAATAAATAAAAATAAATGATAAGCTATTCAAAAGAAGTTTTTGTTATTGAGATACTCAGTGCTTTAGAAGACTAAATATTGGTGCTTAATTTTGTGATAATGCCCAAATGCGAAAAACTGGAAATACACTTTATTATTCGTAAAGAATTAATTTCCACCAACTTTAATCGAATACTAAAATAAATTACGATTTTCGTGTTAAAATCAAATATAAATGGTCAAATTTAATACATAATATTAATATTTAACTGAAATAATGGATTGAACGTTAGATAAAGGTGGCAACAGGGTTTCATATAAGGTGCAATGTATTAAAAAAGCATGAGTCTATTTTTGAAATAATGTGGTTAAAATAGAGCTTGTGCATTTATTGCTTAATTAGTCTGACCGAATTCGGGATAATTGAATTTGACTGCCTATTATTCAATTTTCCTTAAGAAGATTTCGTTCTGTATTTTCCCAAATATATTAAAGCATGGGTTGTAGACGAGTGAGAGTGGTTGAATATCATAAACTTCTAGAGCCGGATCATTTCTTCCGATATGGTCGTCCAAAAATAGAACCGCCTGGAATCGATTTAACATTTCGTCTCCCATTGGATAAAACCTTGGTCTTTCTTATCTTCCTATCTGCTATAGGGGTCATAATACACTTTACATATGCCTATCTCCATTTGCCTCCTTTCCCACCGCTGCCAGTTAATGCAACTACAGATTGTGCTTTTCTTCGAGGCGCCTGGAATGCTGAGCAAACTGTTCTACGATTTTACTCTATCCCATATGCGATTCCTCCACTTGCTAAACCAGATGAAGGAACGCTAGATGTTTTACAAGAATATTTCCATACAGTAGGTGGAAAGCCATCTTTACGTTGGAAAACACCTCATAAATTAATCGGCTTTGAGGGTTGTATTCTGGCCCACAATGATAGATGCACTTTTAAACGTGGTCGATGGACTTGTGACCTGAGTAAACCTCGACCATTCAGTTCATGTGTTCCTCCAAGAACAGAGGGAAGAGTTGAATCCATGAATCCAGAATACCTATTTCAAAATGAGAGATGTCTCCAAGTAGACATTGCTGTTCCTCTATTTGAAGGAAGTCTAAAACCAGTAGTCATTGTAATTGCAGGATTTCAGTACCTTGCTGAGCCCATGGTAACTCCTGATTCTCCGCGGCCTGCCTACTGGCCTTCAGACGAAACAGTTAGTGATACCGACGCGGTCTGGGTCTACTTGCACTATCGTCTGGGTCTTGCTGGTTTCTTCTACAATCTTACGCATACGCGATCCAAAAGCAAAGATAAACAGCAGCTGTCGCATGAAAACTTTGCACTTAAAGACCAATTAGAAGGCTTGAGATGGATCAAGACGCATATTAAGCAATTCGGTGGTGATCCTAAAAGAATAACAGTCTTTGGAATCGCTTCGGGAGCAACAAGCGTTCTCGCACTGATGAAAATGAAAAATAAAGGCGAAGATCTATTTCAACAAGCTTGGCTTTCAAGCGGGGCTGTCCACTGGCACAGTGAACGCGATAAGTCACGCCATGTAAATATCGTAGATAAGGTGTTTGGTGAAATCGCAAATAATCACATTGGAACCCACTGCAAACCTACAAGTCCGGGATTTGTATTAAATGCTTGCAAATTAAAAGACATTGAACAAAAGCTGAATGACATTCCCTTGCAAATTATTAATTCTCTTATAGCTGATAATTTTAAAGACGAAAATTTAATTGGGGAATTTATTAACTCTGCGAACGAAAGTGGCCGTGGTATGGGCTGGATTTATGCGGAATCCAATTCAGGAGATATTCTTCCCCCGAAATACTGGACGGATGACGAATTAGATTATATTTTCATAAATGGTAAGTAATATTTTAAAAACTAGAGATATCCGTATAAGAATGAAATTCTCTTTATGGCTTCAAATTCGTTGTTGCTATTACTAGTTCAGAAGGTGTGTTGGGTATACAGTTAGAGATACTCTCTTAATTAAGGATGAGTGGGTAACAACGAATTTTTGCCCGATCTTAACTTATTTTTATTTAATAATTTATTTGTTATACTAATTTGAAAGTCAGTATGTGCCCACAAGACCAATTTAAGCACAATTTAATAGGATAAAATACCATTTGAAAGAAAATGCCCAAACCTTTCTCCAAACATCTATATGTGTGCGGGTACTTAAGTACTTAATAATATATAAGGTTACAACTAAGTCATTGCCGATTTCAAATAAGAAGGCAAATTCTTCTAAGTCATTGCCGATTTCAAATAAGAAGGCAAATCCGGATTTTTTGTTTAAAAATATAACTTTATTCAATTAGATATTGGCCGTTCTTGTCGACGACCTTTTCTATTCAATTAGCTATTGACCGTTCTTGTCGATGACCTTTTACATGTCGATGACCTTTTTCCATCCTTCTGGCAGAGTAAAAATGCCCCCTTCGTAAAATAGTCTGTCTTTGCTATTAAAAAACTGAATTAGGTGTGATCCCACATCAAATTTTACCATTTAAAGAGTCGCGTTGTTAAAAATTTTACCATTTAAAGAGTTTTGCATGGAACGAAACAAATGGTAAGCCTAAGGCGCAAGGTCAGGGCTATGTGGTGGGTGTGACTAAACACCCCAACCCAGTTCCAATAATTTTTGCCGAATAACCAAAGATGTGTGGGGCCTTGCGTTATCATGATGGAAAACAACACCCTTCCGCCGATTTGATAATGCCGGCCGCTTATCTTCAATTGCATCCTTCAGTTTTTCGAGTTCTTCAACATACACATTTGAATTTATCGTTTGGTTCTG